TCATGTGCGGCCTTTATTATGGTGAGGTAGAGTCCATGTATCTCCAGTTTTTTTCATAAATGGATGTTGAATCTTATCAAATGCTTTCTCAGCATCTGTTGGTACATATGATTTCTATATTTCCTTTTGTTGGTATGGTGAATTACATTGATTTTCAGATGTTGAACCATTCTTCCATTCCAAGAATAAATCCCACTTGGTTATGGTGTATGAACTTTTTTTTTTTTTAAAGATTTATTTATTTATTTATACAAGCACTGGGTATAGTCAGAAGCACGGGAGGGTAAGAAGATTCACCAGAGCAAGAGCAGGGAACAGAACAGGCAGACTGATGAAATACACTGCTGAGGGAAGCAGCGGGCGCAGCAGGAGAGGTCTGCGCACCATGTGGGACCCTCGCCGGCGGCTGGGGATTGAACCGGCGCTGCAGAGGCTGCTGGCAGCTTCGCAACCCAGTGCTCAACCGCTGTGCCACCGGGGGAGGCCTGGTGTATGAACTTTTAATGCATTGTTGATGCAAGGTTTTGTTTGTGATTTTTGCATCTATGTTCATCAGCAAAATTGGTCTGTACTTTTCTTTTTTAGGGTGATTATTGATACATGAGGGCCTATAAATGCCATTTTGTTCTTAGTTTTCTGATTCTGTTTTCTTTCTCTTTTTGTATGTGTGGATGTTCTCTGTGATTTGGATATAAGAGCTTCTTTCAACATTTTGTGGATAGTAAATCTAGTGTTTGAAAACTCTTTCAGCTTCTGTTAGCCTAAAAAGGCCTTTATTTTCTCCTCCTATCTAAAGGAGAGTCTTCTAGGATATAGTATTATTGACTGGCAGTTTTTAATTTTTAAGTGTTTTGCATACATCATTCCATTCTTTCCTTGTTCATGGTGTTTTCTTAAAGAAATCACATATAAGCCTGATAAATGTACTTGTAAATGTACATTTATAGGTTTTCTGTTTCTTCCCTTTTGCCAGATTCAGTAGTGTCCTTTATTAGATTCAATAGTTTTCTTTTTTTTTTTGTCTTGAACTCTCGGGGTCTCAGGGTACAGATCTTATTACATTTAGGCAGCCAGGTGTTCTTTTAGCTTCATGGCCTTGTATATTTAATTTCTTCTCCAGGTTTGGGAAGTTTTCATCTCTTATTTCTTTGAGTAAGTTTTCTGTTACCTTCTCTCTTTTCCTCTTGACTAATATTATCTTATATAGCCTTGCCTCATGGATAATTAATATTATTTTAAAGTTTTCCTTTCTTTCTTTCTTTATTTATTTTTGTGTTTCTTTCTTCTTCCACTTGGATTCTTTGTGCATTACCATCTTCAAGGTCACTGATTTGATCTTCTGTTTGGTCTTCCATGTATTTCTGCATAATTTTTAAATCTCCTTTATCGATCTGTTTACATGCTCTATCTGTTATTTTCTTATTTAAACTTCAATTTCTATCTTCTGTTCATTAATTTTATTTCTCAAGAAAATTCAGCAAAAACTCATTGTTTTCCTGAGTATTCTTTTATATTTTTATTAGCTTTTCTGTGTTTTTTTCCATTTCTTTGAATTTCTTTATCATGGCAGTTTTGAACTTTGTATCTGATAGGAAGAAAAGATCTGCCTTATCTTTGTGGCTGAATTCTGGGTATTTGTTCTTTCTCTGTGGTGAAATATCTCCTTAAGGGCACTAAGACATTTGTTGTATTTTTCTGTCTCCCCATTTTGTAGCTTTCCAGGAGGCTATTTTTTTTCATGTCCTAAGGGTAGAGAACTTCCACTTTACATTTTTCCAACAGATGGCAGTATGGGCTTTTTAAAAAGCTTTTCCTGACTTGGCATTTCAATACATTGTATGATTGTTATGTCAAGGAATACTGATCTCTAACTATTGAGTCAGGGATGAGGGTGGAGCCTGGAAGGGTCCAGTCATTGCTGAAAGTGGTGTTGTGTACTGTAGTGGATGATATTGTGGTACTACCAATAGCCTTATCTCTGTGTTTTCTGCAGTATGTGCCCCGTGCTGTTTTGCTTCACAGGAATAGCTCTACTCCCAAAGGGGTATAGGAGGGGAAACACCATTCTGTACTCTGTCCTCTTCACTGGGGACCCTGCATGCATAGAACAAACACCCCAGGTTCTCTGAATATATCTGTCATCAGTTAAAGGTATGTACCTCCACACTAATAAGCTCTCCCCTCCCCAGCACCATCAGCCACACAATGGAACACAATCTGAGGTTTGCCCAGCAGGCTGCCAGCCCAGCTGCAGTCTCTAAGGCAACTTTCTCCATCGACCTTTTGTCATATACGGTTAAATTTCCTCTGTGTCACTTCTGGCACAGTCAGTATTGGTTTGAGATCTCCAAGAGGTTCCCTGGTTTTGCCCCTTGCCACAGGATCCTCTCTGTTCACTGGCCCACTGAACTATTTACAGATTATCCTCCTGAGAACAAATTAGGGAACCTCCTCTGAAGCCATCTTCTCACACATTCAGTCTATATTGGAATTCTTAATGTGCATGATAAATACAGAGTGTTATTTCACTCATAAAACTAATGATTAAGAATGATTTTTTTTCCTGCTCAAAACCATTAATCACAGAAATACATTTTACTTAGACATCCATTAACACTTTATAGTACACACATCTTTAAACTATACTTTTAAATTTAGGGGCAAACAGAAGCTTATTTTTTTAAAGAATGTGCTAGAGAGTGAAACCACAATGATGTCCTTTCTAAAGTTGCTAGCAACCTCAGAAGAATAGCCACAAACGTAATAGCAACAACTTGCATTGGTACAACAGATTTTTTTTTTCTTTTTTAAAAAACATCATTGTTTGGGCCTCCCCGATGGCGCAGCAGTTGAGTGCTGGGCTGCAAAGCTGCCTGCAGCCTCTGCAGTGCTAGTTCGATCCCTGGCCGCCGGCGAGGGTCCCACATGGCACACAGACCTCTCCTGCCGTGCCCACTGCTCCCCTCAGCAGTGTACTTCATCAGTGTGCCTGTTCTGCTCCCTGCTCTGGCTCTGGTGAATTCGCTCACTCTCCCATGCTTCTGACTGTACCCAGTACTTGTATAAATAAATAAATAAATAAATAAATAAATAAATCTTTTAAAAAAAGAATTAAAAAAAAAAGAGAAAAGGAGGGAAAAAAAATCCTTGTTTATTTTTTCACAAAATAAGATTTCTCCCTTCAGTTGTGGTCACCAGAGCTTTCCAACCACCAAAGTGCCCAAGTCCACCATACTTTCACATGTTGTCTCAACCACCATCATCCTGAATGTGGAGGAGCATTTCCATTTTGTAGAAAAGGACGTTGAAGTTTTGGGAAAAAAAAATCAAATTTTTAAGAATTTTCTTCCTGAAAGATTTATGTCACTTTTGATAAAAAGTTATTTAACCAAATTAAAAAAAGAACCACATTCCTAAAGATGGAAAATTTGGCAACCCCTAAGCTCAGATAAAGTTTAAGGGAATGCAACATTTATAGCAGAGAATTCTCTCTCACAGTTTTGCTTCAGAACACTTTGAACTCATGTACAGTGTTTCCACAAAGGAATGAGGTAATCTTCTCTGGTATGCTTCCTTCTTGACAACTTTCTAAATGCACCAACTGCCCAAATAGTGATGAAATCATGGATAAGGGAAGACAGTAGGGCTTGCCAATCATAATAACCCTGTAGATGATCACATGGAACTGATTTCCCCATATTTTCAGATGCCACACTAAGCTCATCCCCAAATTAATAAAATTTGGCCCTGTAAATCTAGTTCTAATTCTACTGCTAGAGATTAAACAGAGAGAAATAAAGCTCCTGAATGACAAAGGAATATTTAAAATACATCTAAGACAAAAAGGCTATAGTAAAGTTTAATTCAAGTCACTTCTTACTGATTTTTTTTTCATTACCTATATACTGGACAGTGTTTATAATAAGCAAGGACGTGGAAGAGGTGATGAAAATGCTTGAAATAAAGTTTTGATACTGATAATTCTTAAAATTTTATTTATAATTAAGAACCTCATTATGACTGATATCTTTGATTTCCAGTGTTTAACACTGGAGCATAGGAATTGACATATACTATGTTTTCTCCCAAGCTAAATGATATTGTCTTGTGTTGTAAAGTAGAAAAGAACATCTTAATCATCAACTTTATAAAGAAGATTGTCTCACTGGTGCTATATGAACTTTCAGTATATTGTGTCCAGGATTATGCATGCAGTACTATTTCAAGACCTTTTTACTGATAATATAATGCTGCCTCTAAATTTAATGCCTATTGCCTTTTCACCAGAAAGCAGTTTTTACTGATGATAATGATGATGGTCATTAGGGACTTAGAGACTTTTAAAAGGATCTAGGGATGAATGAATAAATAAAAACCGTGATGACTCATTCTGCACCCAATGCCATTAGTATAACGCACAGCTCAGCACAGTTCCTCTCCCCCACAAAACTGCAAAATTTAAATATATGTTAAATATCTTTCTCAAATAAAATGAGTACAATTTATTCAAGGAATATTATGAGATTGTGGAATGTCAGCAATCAAGGAGGCGCACTAAAAAAAAGAAATACATTTTACTAGGTTGTTTTCTTTTTTGTACGACTAGTCCTCACAGAAAAAACAAGCAGATTCTGTCAGGCTGTAAGCTAATTTCTTTCTTCCTGAATGAAAGAAGCTTATTCTCTGCTACATTTTCATTGCTTTTCCATGTTTTAGATATATTAAATAATGTCATTTTGAATTTCCTTCTAACATTACATGAGGTTAAGTGGGGAAAATTAGATTCTGGGATCTTAAAGAACTATCTTTTACATTATTTAATTAATACAGATCAATTAATATTTGTGCTCATATTCATTAAAATATCATTATATACACCCTACCATGAATTACCAGATACAGGTACAAAGAGATTATCCAAAATTATTTTTATGAAGACATATATAGTATGTATTTCCCCCAAACTAAAGTCATCACAGGATGGTATGTTATGACTTTATGTTGCATTTTATTTCACAAAGGATTAAAGTATGGCAAATCTGAACACTGCAAAAAGATTTAGTCATGCTCATTAGGCACTGAGTTTATTAGTATAGCTTCTGTTTTTCCCTTGATGAGCCAATTTCAAAGCCACTTATAGACTTCCTAATGACATGTGGAAGTAGCCACTTTTCTGTTTTCCATACACCTGTCTTCCCTTTCCTCTTGTAGCAGATGGGAGAGCAGTGAAAAGGACACTGAACCAGAACTCAGATAATAAAGATCCCACACCTAACTGTCCACTCAGGAGTTAAGTGAGTGATCTTGGGATGGTGACCAGGACCACCTGTGACCTGCTTTCTTCCCTGTAATACAAAGATAATATCACAGTGTTGATGTTACATAATTGTTATTCCATTTGGTCTGCAAAGAGACAATCACCAAAAGACCTAAAGGGAAGATACTAGCTATGGAAATATTTTTGATTTAGACAGATTTAGTATATTAAAATCTGTATTTAAACAAAAGATAAATGAACTGGTAGTTACTCACTTCACTTTAGAAGTATAATATAGTAAATATTGCTTTTTAGAAGCTAACTTCTATAAAATGTTCAAAGCACAATTTAATTTGCGAATATTGAATTCAAATATACCTATAGCAAGGCCTAAGGTACAACTGCATTTTAAAACTCAGAGGGGTTTTGAGCACAATTTAGGTTAATCCAATAAAGGAATTGTACATCAAATTGGGATTGATTGTTCTGAATCAAATTCAGTTAGTCATTCCTATTTACATGAGGCTGTTCCTAAGAAAATCAAAGCTTTCATCAGCCTGGAAAGAGAGAACTCTTGTGTTGCCTTTGTAATTCAAATTAGAAATTAACTAGTTGGCAGACCAAAATGCAAAGGTTCTTGATGAAAATGAAATGTACCTTTTGGTTCAGACTCTTGCTTTGGTAACTAGTTACACAGTGTAATGTACTGTGTGTATACTGTTATGTTTCTTTCTCGTTGAAGGATAAAGCAAAGCCCTTTTGGTAAAACAGTTTTGGAAATTGTGGAGTAAAACAGTCAGAGATGGCTTTTTGGGATGAGATTTTGGCTCTCATTTATGTGTGTACCTTGGAGTCAGATTTTCACTGGGTTGATAAAAATCCTGTGAGTTATTTCTTGAGTATAGTTTTCATGGTATTGTGTACACAAACCTCTCCACTAATAAGTATTAAAAATGTATAATATGTACAAAATGGTTGAAATCTAATAAAGGGATCTATATAGTAGGAATAATACATTTCCTTAAACTGGAATAACCTGTAGGATAGTCTGATGGTCACACAAAAGGCGTAGAACTGAGGTCAGCAGAGGGGAACAGTAGATTCAAATCTCACGTATCCCACTTTCACTGATTGGACTGGGAGAAGTCTCCTATGCTACTCCTTTCTTTTTCCCTCCCTCCTCCTCTTCTCCATCTCTCCCTCCTCCCCACCCTTCCTCTCTCTCCTCCCCTTCCTCATACACAAATACACACACACATACACACACGCGTGCGCGCTTGCGATTAGAGGATGTGATTCCATAGTCTGTGTATTTCTTTCACTTTTCTAATAGCTTCCTTACCTGTTTGCAATACATCAGCATTAATATTCTCTTTCCTATTGATTATTTAGAATATAGACTATTCTAAAACACAATGGTATAATTCAGTTGTTTTCAAAGAGTCTTCTTGCTTTTTCAAAACAGTCATCAGATTTTCTAGAGTCCTGTTTAAATCGGTGTCCATTTTCGAGAAATGGTACATGCACTGGAAGCAGACTGGATGTCACAGCTTCAAATTCAATTTTAAAACCTCCAGATGTCTTCTTCAAAGAAAAATGCTGTCTTCCAAATGGTTCATTTGCCACGGCAGTGATATGCCATGAAATCACGAAATCTTTGGGGAGATTGGGAATTACCAATACCACCAGGATACTACCTGTGTGATTGTCATTTCTTCCTAGAAATGAAGGAAAGCAATCAGGATGTTAATGTTAGAATAGATATGCTATATGAAAAAAAAAATCTTAGTAGGGTTACATCTGTACACCTCAGTAAACATTTAACAAATTAAATAATTATGCATAAAATAAGTCAATATAGGATTTATGAATTATTTCAGTTTAACATCACATAATTATTTAATAATTGTGCATAAAAATTATCTGTATAAATTAGGAGTCCTATTATGTGTGTTTGCATTTTGAGTAGTTTTTATTTTTTTTTCAGTTATTTTTTTTATTTTTATTTTTGCATAAGAACTGGGGTATAGGCCAGAGGTGTGTAGGTGGGGTCAGAGGATTCACCAGTGACACAGTGGGGATCAGAACAGGTGGATCTACCAAAATACACTGCTAAGGGGAGCAGTGGGTGAGACAGGAGAGGTCTGCTGTGCCATATGTGGGTCAGCTCCTTGGCCGGGGATCGAGCTCAGGCAGCAGTGGTGATAGATCGAACTCAGGTAGTAGTGGTGATAGGACTGAGACTTAATCCGTAGGCCACCAGGGAGCCCCCATTTTTGTATCTTTATTTTAATGTCTGGTAGAATCAAGAGAGATAAAAGACTAAAAAATCGCCTTACATTTAAAAACTTTTGTGGGTATGTATATTCAATTCAACTTGTCACATTAGTCTCTGTGTGCCATACAACTATAAATGCAAACATACTGAAGTGTAACTTATTTGCACAGATACATTCTTGGTTAGCTCCTAAAGGGCACAGCACATCACTCAGTGTGACTTCGTAGGCTCATGCTTGCCATTGATGACACACATTCAGAATAATTACAATAACACAGATCTTAGAGACAGCTCTTAGTATACCTTTGCATTTTATAAACACCTTTTTGAAGGAAGAAGAAATATTTTTATACTGAAAAATGTGATTTATCTTGTATGTAAGAAAAGTATGCCCGTAACTCATTTATTTAGATTTGTTTCATCCATTTGTAATGGATTTATGCAAATTTAATCTGCGACCATAGGAAGGAGGGGATCAGTCAAGAAACCCAGGTGATAATAAAATAATGCTTTTTATAACTCAGCCACCTTTCCTACCAAATGTATCTTCCTATTTTGGGAAATGTCATTTATACACTCAGTTGTCCAAAAACTGAAGAACTGAGTCTTGTCCTTCTTTGTCTCTTCTGTCTTTCTTATAATTTCTAGCCACCTCATTCCAACTAGCCAGTGAGTTTTATGATGTCTAATTCCTTAAAATTCCTTATATATGCTTCTTTCTGTCACTTTATTTTTGCCTTAATTTAGGCCATTATGGATATCTTGCGTGGATTTCTATGGAGACTTCTAACTTGTCTCTCCAACTTCAATCTTCTTCTTCAATCCAGTTGCCACACTTCAGCCAAAATAATCAGTAATATTGGGGCCTCCCTCATGGCACAGGGGTGACAGCTCTATCAAGCTATTGCCAGCCACTGCAGCATGAGTTCGATCCCTGGCCAGGGAGCTACCTATATGGCACAGCAGACCTCTCTGCCTGCTGCTCCCCTCAGTAGTGTATTTCAGTACATCTGTCTGCTCTGCTACCCACTGTCTCTGGTGAATCCTCTAACCCCCTGCACCTCTGGCTTACACCCCAGTTCTTGTATGCATAAATAAATAAATCTTTTTTTTAAATCAACAATCTTTTCCCAAGATATATATGACTTTTTAAAAAATGTCCCTGTATGGAGCCTCCCTGGTGGCACAAGGGGTTAAGTCTCAGCATTGTGAAGCTATTGGCAGCCACTACAACAAGAGTTCGATACCCTGCAGCAAGAGTTCGATCCCTGGCCAGGGATTTAACCCACAAAGCACAGCAGACCACTTCTGTCTCGCCTGCTGCTCCCGTTCTGCTCCCCACTTTGTTTATGATGAATTCTCTCACCCCCTCAACACCTCTGACCTATACCCCAGCTCTTTTATGCATAAATCTTTAAAAAACATCCCTGCATGCTTAATATCACCTAACGACTTTTGATCTAATGTTCAAATTCCTTATCATGCCTACTAAGACTTTTCAGGATCTGGCCTCTATTTACTTCAACCATTTCTGCATGCCTCATCCCTCACTCATTGCTGGACCCTTGTTGAGGCTGTTCATCTAACTCTCTGAGCTGTATAACTTTAGTTTTGGAATTCTTTCCTCCCTTCGAACAGAAGGTCCTGGCTGGCTTCATTACATCTACATTCCTGGAGGCTAGACCTATCTTTCACGGAAAAAGTCTTCCTTCATAGTTTTTTAATGCAATGTTTGTGTTCCAGTCACATCCAATAAGTGTCTAGCAAACACCGCTCAGGTGTCTGCAACATGTAATATGTCCCTTAACCGAGACACATAACATCCCGTGCCTCTATGGAGCTTGCATTCTTCTAGAATTACCATGGCAACTTATTTGACTATTTTCTTGACTCTCATCCTCAGTAGATTAAGACAAGAACTTTTCTTGTCATCTCATTATTGAAACAATGTCCAGCCAGTAAATATTTGTTTAAATAAATGAATAAAATGAGAAAATGCTAAGCAAAGATGCCAATATAATTATTTTATGCAGGGCATAATTATTTTGAAGACAAGGAAAACTTATTTAGAAGTAAAAAGAAGCCAAACCTTTTTATATTATATGGGAACTTGGTGAATAGACATGTGAACATGTTTTCACAGTTATATATGTAACCCTTTTACTCCTTAAACTTGCTTTCAATGATCAAGTCCTTCTATAACCTCTTTTAATATTCTATGCAGTCTGCCCATTTTATGATCAACAGAGTCTATAATGGAAAAATCAGTATCAATGACAAAAACACTAGATGGTCTTCTGAAATGGAAAAAGTAATATTAAACAATCGTGATAAATTTACATTATTCATAGATCTGACATTAGTTGGTGAAAAGATGCTTTTCTTGCAAACCTAAAACAGCCACACTAAATTCTGAAGCTGTTCTTAAGAATTAAAAATAAAACTCTGGAAGAAAAGGAGAGGTTTCCTTGATGTTTTGAAGTGTCATTGATTTTCTTTTTCTCTATGGAAAAGAAACACCACAGTAAAAATTTGCTTTTGATAAAAATACATCAGATGGGCTTGAAAACTCAGCAGCCAATTACTTTAAAAAATGGTCTTCAGGAGCAAGAAGTTTTAAGGTAACATATAGGGTGGGGATGTTCAACATTCAGCATTCGGGTCCCAAATATCCAATAACTGGGTTCCACAATTCCTTTGCAAAACAAATGTGATTAATATTTCATTTTCCAAAAATGTCACTGAGTTGTATATTTCTTATCTGCCTTCTAAATATATACATATTTATTTAAACAAGTTTATATTTTCTGCCTCCTAGGTACTTTATACTTACTACACTGTTCTTTTTCAAAGCTCTGGAAGTTGTTTCTTTTTGTTGAGATCACGAGTCCACTTGATATTAGTGACTTATACTTTCCTGTGCCTTGTGAGTATGGGTAATAGCCTTTTTGTATACCAATTTGCTTACACTGCAGTCTGTGCTGATAATACTGTACATTGCCTGACCTCTGAATGGAAAAATAATAACAAGTTAAAACAGTCATTTTACCTGAAGTCGATAAGGCCATAACACTCACCCTGCTTTCAATTCACATGCTCAATTTTCATCCACTCACTTTGAGAGGAAGGAATAATGACAGGTTACAGGCACTTTATTTCAAAATTCACTCACAAAGTTATTGACAAGCATTTTTCACAGAAACAGCTCTTCTCTCTGACCCTCGTGAGCTGTTTACATGAAAAATGCTCTTCCTTCTAGATTAATGAGAGTGGAACCTAATTCCATACCAAACATGTAACAATTGCTTTAGCATCTCTGTTTTTGATGTGGGAACAAAAATAGGGATAATTTGCCTCAAATTGCCATCACTTCAGTCATAATAAAATCTCAGAGAGTACTGTTTGCTTTCAACTTTCATTAGGTAAGCTGCTGCTGTTATTAAGGTACCAACACACAAATGTTATATTAGCACTTAACAGAACCATGGCATTCTCCTCTAGGAGATAAATTCTACCCTTGTCAATATAATTCCTCACTGAGTGTAGTAAAAGAGTTCGAAAAGATGAAATAGTGAAGCTTTGCACTAGAGGAAAAGAAATACCTTGTTCATTCAAGCTTAACGGCCATTTTGTTGGCCCCAGGTACTGTTTAGAAAAATAAGTCTCAGAGAAACTCTCTTAGGTCAAGTCAAACATTGAGACAAACTTTCAGACATGTTCTCTTTGTCTGAGATTGTTAAATCAGTTACTTTAAATTTCTGAATGCCTTCAACTGGCATTTTAACACTGTTTACAAAGAAATCTGTAACAATGTAAGGCCACGATAGAGTTTATTTCCAGACTGTAAATGATAATCATTCTGTGTAAACCACTGCACACCCAGCACCCAACATTTCTTTTTTTTCCCCAATATAGTGCACCCTTATGAAATGTAAGATACTGTGTGTATCACTGTGATGGAGCTATAAAAATTAAATCTATGTTCATTCTTACTGTTACTACTTTGTCCTTTAGATACTCTTAAAATAACTATCTCCAATTTAAACCTAAGAAAAATGCTGTCACAAAGAGAGCAATGAGGACTCTTTAGGTCATCTGGAATGGTGAAAAGGCAGGGGAGGAACATCAAAAGCTTGGCTATTGCTAGGCTTGTCTTTGCCATCTTCCATCTTCTTTCCTAGCCTTTCAGACTTCTTATCATACTTCATTCAGCATTTTAAGATCTTTCAAGGGGTCTATTTTTGTACAGATAGTTTAGCAGCCTTCGATGGACAAAATAGTGTATTTTAGCTATGAAATTGAGACTATAGTATTTGCCAGGTGACATGCATGATGTAAAAGTGACCATTGTCCATCTTCATTTATAGGATACAGCTAGAGATGATAATGTATGGTTTGGTGATAAGGACTGTTTGGCTTAAAGTTATATTCATAGATTAAATATGTTTGCTTTTGCCAATTTCTATTGTTATTATACCAATCTGAAAATCACCTTACCCTAAGGCTAGTGCATTTCCATTACCCCTCCTGACCTCACATGCATTCTGACCATTTCCAAAATGACCTACAAGTATTTACTATCACCAGATTTAACAACTCCTGGGTCAATAAAGAAATCAAAGAAGAAATTTAAAAGTATCTGGAGACAACTTAGCCACACATTCATACACACAAACCAAACAACACAATAAAAAAATCGGGCAAAAGATTTAAATAGACACTTCTCTAAAGAAGACATTCAGGTACCTACAGGCATGTGGAAAAAAATAGTTAGCACCAATTTATTATAATGGAAATGCAAATCAAAACTACGATGAGACTACTCCACCCCTGTGAGAATGGCCTGCATTAAAAAAATGGAAATAACATGTTGGTGAGGATGTGGAGAAAAAGAACACTAATCTACTATTGGTGAGAATGTCATTTGGGATAACCTCTATGGAAAAAAACAGTATGTTCTTTAAGATGCCTTAAAGAAATAAAAATGGAAATACCATCTGATTCAGTAATGCCACTGCTTGGTATTTGCCTAAAAAACATGGAAAGTCTAATATGAAGAGACTTTAGCATGCCTGTGTTCATAACATCATTATTACGACAGTTAAGTTATGGAAACAACTTATGTGCCCAGTGACAGATGACTGGATAAAGAAATTATGGAATAGATACTCAATGGAATACTACTCAGCTATTTAAAAGGGTGAAATGGTGCCTTTTGGAACAAAATGAGTGGATCTTGAAATGATTGCTAAGTGAAACAAGTCAGAAAGTGAAAGATAGACACAGTATGGTGTCACTTAATTGTGGAATATAAATAACCAAAGAAAACGTACTGGCAAAAACCACAGCAAAAATAATTCTCAGACTTTGAAAAATAAACTGGTTACCAGAGGGAATGGGGGAGGGGAGTTGAGGAGAGAGGAAGGAAAGGGGTAGGTGCCTGTCATGGCAGTGTTGGATGAGTGAAACTGCACATACGGAGGTGTAAAAATGTATCCCCAAAGTTATGTAAATATATAAGTAACTGACAAGTTAGTAGTAACAATTTAAAAACATTGTAAAAATTAACAAAATTTTCAAAAATTCCAAGGAAGGTGCCTCTTGAAGCTGCAGCCCACATTCCAGAATGAAATGAAACTAGGAAACAGCCAGTTTTACCACCTGAGCTTCTGCCCTTGAATTGATATTAAGTAACCATATCACTCATTATAGCCGTTAATCTCCCTTGCTGATACCTTTTAATTTTTAAACAGTCCTACTTTACAAATCATATCTTCTTTCATGTGTTCTCCCAGCTAAAGAATTAATTTTGCAAGCAAAATATCTAAACAGTAAGCATAATAAGAATGAAACAGGTTAAAGCTCATTAGCAGCAGGGAGCAGATGTAGTAAAACTCTGCCAGTTCCCCTACATTTCCTTCTCAGCAGGAACAGGGCACCAAGCTGTGAGTTAGTTCTATAGCACAATGCTTGGCTGCTGTTTCAGCAATTGCACCACTATTGCTTCAAGTATAATACTAAGAATTCACTTTGATTTTTGATTTTTCTTTGCAATAATAATGCCTAAAAGAATCCTGCAGAGCTATCTGGTAAAGTTAAGCACCAAGTGCCAGCTAATCAGCAGACTAGAAAAATATAATTGATAAGAAAACAATTATAAATTATAAAGTCATTTTATCTTTAAAAATATTAACTTCTTGACAAACAGAAGCCCCAGAGTCTGCATGAAATCAGTAACTGCTCAAGTTAAACTTATATCATACGCTAACACTCAATATAACATTGTTACACAACTACACAACTGATAAAAAATATCTGTGTAATGACCAAAACAATGCAGTTATTATGATATAAACTAAAGACTAGTGAGTTCTGTTAGAAAAAACACAAATTATTATCCTAAGATTTCTTCCTTCATGTACAATGTTCAAATAGAACCGTCTTTAGGAAATTTAGCAATATCATCAAAGTTAAGGTATCTATACTTGCCAATACTAGAAAGACTTTACTAAAAACTATCTTTCTAGATTATCAGAATCCTTTACTGAGACTGCATATTTTGAGATATGCTAGAACACAGTTGGAGAGAGGAATCATTGGCATGAAGTCCTCTGCTGGATTCTTGATGTCCCGGATATTGCTAGGACCAATTTGTTGAGAAAAATGAAGATACACTCTAGAACCCAATTCATGGAATTTTCAGTAAATCAAACTGCATATGTAAATGTAACTATAAATTTATCTGCATATTCTACAACTCTCTATATTACTCTAAGAGCTGATGCTGTATATTTAGTTTTTGCAGTGCATTCATTTGGCCAAGTCTGAGAGACAGGACACATTTAGAACAATAATGTTAACAGTGTTCCAGGAAAGTACGCTAAATCTTTCAAAGAAAAAGAAACCTGCAAGTACAATTAACTGGGAAGAGTGGGAACATATATTCTGAGTCTTCTGGCCTATTAAAATAAACTCATCAGCCTTCCATCATTATCCTTTCCTTACACTAATAGGATTGGCTCCTGGAACAGATCTAAATCTATAAGCATCTGGAGCAGATCTAAATCTATAAGCACCTGGAGCAGATCTAAATCTATAAGCAGGGGTGAAATGTCCCCTTTTCATGAAAGTTCTAATGGCAAAGTCAAGAGGATCATTATAGTTTGAAGAAATTGAAGTTAGGAAAGTTACTTATATACTAAGGTTGATTGATTGCTCTGAATTGGTTGACCCATTTTCCACTATAAAAGAGGAAGGTTGGGTTTCCTGATATGTTTCCTCTCATACAAACATTTTTGTATAACTTCAGGTACAATGAAGTCCCAAAAGTTTATATCTGTTAGATCATGCCTTTGAAACACTAGGTTAATTCTTCAAACACAATAGGTTGTAGGTAATATTTGAAACCATGGTAGCAGTTTCCTAGGACTTATGTCTCTCATTTGTACGCAAGACCATGTACTTTTTTTTGTATCAGCATTTTATAGTGCAGTTTCAATAACTCTAAAACAACTGAGCTCCCTTAGCAATCTCCGGCATAGATTCTATGGGCAATTTAAGGTTCTCCATTGGAGGTATAGGAATGAAAACTTCCAGGAATTCTGCTTATAGATTTCTTTAGAAATTGACTAAGAATATGGAATTGAATTGAAAACAAAGATACCTATGTAGAAAAATGACAAAAAAATACAGCTCCAACGTGAACAATCAATCTGTAACAAACGATTCATACAAAAACATGGATAATTTCTGACATTGCACCTACCTTTTGGGATCATTTCACTTGGGACACCTGTCACCCCAACTGAAAATCAAGTGACAAGAAAATAGTAATAACTACAAAATTCTTAAAAGCAGCCAGACTGAAGGGATGCTGATCAAAACACAATTCTGCTGATTTGCCCTGTATGAAGGAAGAGACAACAGCAGGATACTCAATGAACTGAGGTATAGTGTTCTGAGGTGAGATACATCCATACAAGGACAACAGAGAAATGCTTTAAATTACTATAGAATCAGAGCCTCGAGCAATCTGGAATTAACTGTTGGTGACTATGACCTTAAGTAAAATAGCAGCTACAAGGAATAGAGTTGTTCTTCAGTAAAAACCGTCAGAGTGATTACTACCTAGAAGGAAGAGGATGAATAGTGACAAACCTTTCAGATAGTAGCTACCAAATAAATGACAATTTTCACTTGAAAATATCTGAGTGCAGAAAGTATTAAAAATCATAGAAATATAATAAGGTAAGACTGGACAAAGTTATAGTCATCATTGTCCAGTCCTCTCATTGTATAAAAGAGAAACAAAGTTCTGGAATGTTCCACCTTGCACACCACTCAGCAGTAGTTAGTACTTGAATCCATGTCTCTGGATGTCTGATTTGGTTATAATCTGTACTCACAATGCATTTTAGAAACATCATCTTTAAAATAGTGGTGTGACCTCTTAAACTAGAAACAAGCCTATATATCAAGTCCTTTACATCTTCAAAGAAAATCTGGAGAGGAGGAAGTATGCAAGTTATGAAATCTATGCATTCTGTTAAAACCTTCAAGGGAATGTGAATTTCTAATCTAGTTCTATGATTTTTACTTCACCACAAAGTTTGATTTTTATCTCGAAGGGAACATAGATGTCATCTTACTTAACCCTTTCATTTCAAGGAGTAGGAGTTCTCTTTTTTAAATTTTTTTAAATTAAATTTTTTTATGTTATATATTTTTTACATCATTTTTTTTTATTTTTGCACAATGTATACATTTTCATCTTGGTTATATTCCCCATATAATTCCCACCCCCCTTATTTTGACTCTAGTCCCTCCCCCCCCACAGTGTGTCTCTGGTTTATAGTTGCTTGTTGATTTTGATTTTTACTTTATTATAATTAGTCTTTTTCCTGGTCCCTTATTTAGGTTTTCTAAATTCCTGCTGTGAGTGAGACCATCCGGTATTTTTCTCTTCCTGGCTTATTTCACTGAGCATGATCCCTTCCAGCTTCATCCATGTTGCTGCAAATTGCATGAGTTTATCTTTTTTTGATTGCTGAGTAATATTCCATTGTGTATATGTACCACATCTTCTTGATCCAGTTATCTATTTTTGGGCATTTGGGTTATCTCTTAACTTGATTCCTCACGAGTAATGCTTTCCACTCTTTCTATAAGCACATGCCTGATACTTATGGCAAGATGAATAATTTAGGTTGCGAGCTCTTCATAATTCCCGCCACTCTGTTCCAACCAGTTTAGTTGTTCATTATTAATTGTCTTTATTCCAAGCTTGAATAAGCTAGATGTAATTAATATTGGCATTATGTACTTTTGACCAAGTGTTACATAATCCTGTGGAATGTGAATGTGGAATGAGGTACAATTGTTTCTATAAAACTTAGTTTGAATACTTTGGATAGACTTACAAAGGTGAGCTTTTATTAACAACATGATGTCATTGCTGGTGAAGCTATGGAAAATAGGAACCCTTTTTCATTGTTTGGAAATGTAAGATGATGTGGTTGTTATAGAGAACACTAATGATGTTCCTTAAAAAAATTAAGCAAAATTATCATATGAACCAGAAATCCTACTTTTTTATTTATTGAAAATACATTTATTGAAAATAATTGAAATCAGGATCTTGAAGAGAACCCTACATTTTCATGTTCATTGCAGCATTGTTCACAATAGCCAACAGGTGGAAACAGCTTAAATGTCTCTTGATGGATAAAAGTTAAATAAAACATAGTAAGTACATATATAGAATATTATTCAGTTGCAGAAAAGAAGAATGAAACTTGAGGACATCATACTAAATGAATTATAAGTCAGTCACAGAAGGAAAAATATTGCATGATTCCACTTACATGAAATCTCTAAAGTAGTCAACAAAGTAGAAAATAGAATGGTGATTGACAAGAGCTTGGAGGGAGAACATGGGGAATTATACTTTAATGGGTATAGTATTTCAGTTACACAAGTTGAAAGAGTCCTAGAGATCTGTATAACATTGTACTTATTGTTGATAATATTATAATATACACTTAAACATTTATTAAGAGGTAGTCTCATGTGATGTATTCTTTTACAATAAAAATATTTTACATTTTCTGTGTAGACAATTGGAAAAATTGCTAAAAATCTAGAAATGTTCAGCACTCAGATTACTTCCTAAGTGATTTTAAGTTCCTCCTCTATTTTTTCTTTTTTTTTAATTTTATTTTTGTATTCCCCATACAATTGCAACCCCCTTATTTTGAGTCCAATCCCTCCTTTCCATGCCTCCCCCCCATAGTGTGTCTCTGATTCACAGTTGTTTGTTGATTTTAATTTTTTCTTTCTTATAGTTATTCTTTTTCCTGGTTCCTTATTTAGGTTTTCTGGATTCCTGCTATGAATGAGACCATCCGGTATTTTTCTTTTTCTTTCTGGCTTATTTCGCTGAGCGTGATCCTTTCCAGCTCCATCCATGTTGCTGGAAAAAAGGGAAAATTGTAGATAATTGTAGGTATTGCTAGGATGGTTTAGGCAAGAAAGATGATATGCAACTCAGACCAGATATGCTAAAAAAGGCTTAGACCCTATACCAAAAGATCAGTTAATTGATGTACATATTTATTTTTATTAAAATGTTTTAGGATAAGTGTAATTTCTTTTTATGATAAAGGTGAGCATTAATTTATTATTTATTTTTACTTTTCAAATTTAAATTTATTTATTTATATCTATTTTATATCATTGTTCATTTCTGTACAATATTTGCTTTTTCCTCTCAGGTGTAGTCCCCATAAATTTTTTTTCTTAATGATTTTCTGATTTCTTAATGATTTCAATCAATCATTTAACTATAGATCCTGTAACTAAGTTATTTGAGCTATCAGAAATTTTCACTTATAATGCATAAATGATTATTGTGGATAAGTAGAGAATAGGCTTGATGTTTTGGTTACTTCCACTATAATCAAGTTGTTCATTCAGTTCAGTATTTCTTGGGGACATGCTTTATGTTAGGTATCATGGCAGATATTACCTGGTGTGGAAGACAGGAAATTTGGTCCAAGACTTAGGTTCAAAGTATGGCTTTGTAATATCTATCTCCTGAAGTAGACTAAAAGGTTTACTAGTAGGCTACCTGGCTCATCGTAGGTGCTCAATCAATATCAGTTTTCCCAAATTTATTATTGCATTGAATCACCATGACAACTTGACAGATGGATAAAGTTAGATGCAAAAGAAATCATCCCATATACCTCTAGGTTCTTTCCTGGCTGAAAAAATAATCACAAAAGTATCAGTTGGGTTAGTTAAGGAAAAGCAACCAATTTAATAACATACTCATGGGGAATTTACATTGTAAATTTAAAGAATAATGTTATGGGCCAGGAATATTTGTCCTGCATTTTGGGACCTGGAGTGTCAAGGTCAAAGAGGGGGAATGAAAAAAAGGGTGATCTCATCCTTATTCTGAGAATAAAGTTCTTAGAGAGAACATGTTTATTGATAAACTTAGAACTGGAGGAGACCCCAAACTATTCTTCTAGGTCATAAAATGCAGGAGAGTGATTGCTCCTTTGATTAGGAAAAGGACAGAAACTTAGGATGTGATGATCTCTATTTAGGGAAGGGCAGAAAGCTTAGGTAACAGAAGCTTCTTTTAGGTTTTGGGTCTTCTATGCTTTCAATTAAAAAGTTTTCATTTTTGACATAATGGTAATAAACCTCCTAAGGCTCATAAGACCTTGATTGACCACTAGTTTCCAAACCAATGCAACTAGAGGCCTTTTCTGGGGCTTTTGAGAAAAGTGTATCTGACCATTTTGGGAGTCTAATACCACAATACTATTATACTCATTTTATAATTATACAGGTAGTAATTTGGAGAGCCTGTATTTACCTACTTCTATCTAAAGCCCGTAATCTTTCCACTTTAGGACACCTGTTTCATTATAATCTAATTTTGAACAGGATTCGATTCTGAATAATTTATCCAGGTTGAGTTGCAAAGGCACCAATAACTGAATGAATTGATATAATTGCTGAATGAACTGGACAGAATTGCTTATTGGCATCCATTTATAAATTGGAGAATAGCTACCAGATGCATTAGTTTAAATTTCATTAATGTTTATGATTAACTTCTTTTTTTGGCAGGGGCAGGTTCGAGGTGGGCCGTAATCATTCAGGTTGTCTAGCTGCTTCTTAGGTTTGCTTCTTTTATTTAGACATTTTGATTTTAAGAAGCAGTCATAAAAAGTAATTTAATTAGTAATCTAAAAGAAATCTCACTTCCCACCAGTGAGATTTAGAATTCTTCATTTCTGTCCATTCTGACTTCAAGAGAACTCTTGCTCTGGGATTTGAAGAAACATTAAAGGCCTAGTGTCAGGACAAAGTATCATTATTATTGTTAGTGCCAAGTGGCACCAGGTACCTCAAACTATTAAGGGATTCATGTTCCAAAAGGGATTTTGCCATACGCCATATAAAGGCAAAGGTAGTAGACTCTTAGTGTGATAGATTTTTAATACAATTTGTATGCATAGAGAGAAAGGAGAATAAAGAAAATTCCTAATAACAGTTCCTCACCCCAAAATACCCCAAATTACCTATCTTTTTGTGGGCAAATTCCTAGCCCGACAGAGTTGACCTGAAGCAGGACTGCTTATGCCCAAAAGCTTACCATAAATCTAAGTCACCTTCTGGTAGGGAACATCTGGAAATGGTAAGGCAGGTCCCAGAAAGATGGGACAACAGTAGAAAAATAAAATGCAAAATCAAAGTACCAATCAAAATAACAGCTGCCATTGCCTCTGCCAAAACCAGGAACAGCCTTTCCACATGTCTCTCCGGCACATGTCTCTTTCAGATGTCTGTACACATCTCTCCACATGTCTTCTTCCAAGTCCACCCCAGTCCCTGTGTACAAGTCAAATTCAGAAAAGTAGAGAGTCCCCAGAGCCATGTCCACGTGACATAGCTTTTCCTGGTCACTCAGCTTCATCCATAGTCTGCAGTAGCTCCCCCACTCTGGAAGTCCAGTTTATGGCACACTGGAACCTACACTCCAAGGCAGTGGCATGCAAGTGGGAGAGGGGAAATGGTACTTCCCTTTCAAGGAGGTGTGTTGGCAACATTATTAGTGTCGTAATTCTGCTTTTCCAATTTCAGGATAGGCATCATGACTAGAGAGATTAGAAACAGAAGAGCAAGTGAACGATGTCCTTTTCTTTCAACTTTTCACTTTACAGTGTGCTTCCCAAGCAATGAGAGGATGACTTCTTTGTGCTGATGTTTATTCTAAAAGTTGACTTAAATGATTTGTCATGATTAAATGTTTACTACGATCACCAAATTTAGTTCTTCTATCACTTTTCTCACTGTACCACAAAGGTTATTTTCCTGGTGATCCTTTCTGCATCATATATTTCTTAAGCTTCTGAGAGTTCATTCTATGATTTATGACCAAGGAAACCTCAAGGCTGTAATTATCTCCTGAAGTTATCTTTTCCTGTTTTGACTTCCTCCTTGCATTTATTATGGCATAGATTATAATTTGTAGTATATTATTTTTGCATATTCCTTGGAATTAAATTTGTAATCTTCTTTCTCAAAAATAGCTTGAGGTTTGATGAATTTCAAGATATATCATTAATTACTATTTAAGGATGCAAGTCACAAGCAAATTACAAATTTAATGTAATAAGCCATATTTCATTGTGTGTGAAAGGCATTTTACATCAAACTGACCCATACCTTGAAGTATACCCCCTTGTCATAAAATCAACAAAACCTTCCCTGGAGACAGATAATCCTTTCTCTTTTGTTTTATTTTCGGCTCTCATGGCCAAGTCCTTCTTTAAGTACCCTAACAAGGAAGAATAATGAAGCACCATTCCATTTTAATGCTAATTTAAGAATATACAATTTTTGAGGGTCTTCTCTGTTTTAGGCATTTTACTTATTATTTAGAAATTCTTATTATTTAGAAAGTGAACATCTTCACTTCAGAAATGATAGAATTAAAGCTTAATATGGTTAAGTAACTTGTAAAGACCACTAAAAGGCAGAAAAGGAACATGAATCAAAGAGCATCTCAAGCTCATGTGTAAGCTCTTCCACTATGAAGATGCCCTTGACCCCAGCACTCACCCTCACCCTACTGAAATAAGTATGACTTCTGATAAAGATGGTGGGAATAATTTTAATGATTGATTTACGTTCTGTCTTATTCTAGAGTGTATTTAAGGTAGGCATGAAATACAATCATGTTCCCTACTATGGTGCAAAAAAATGGGTTTTGGATTATATAGTCTCAGTATAAGTCCCAGGACTCCTACTTGATAGCTATGAGAAACCTGTTTCCTTGTTAATAAAATGAAATGATTCTTCCTAATTCCTAGTGCTTTTGTGAGAATTGTAGGAAGCAGTATGTGAAGTTTCTAGCACAGTGGCTGGTACAAAGTAAAGATAAAAAATATATATTAGTTCTCTTTTTCATTCTACCATATTCTTCGACCCTGTTTTCTTTTCTTTAGATGATAGACCTATTTGAAAGCAGAATAGTTCTATTATTCCTTAGTGACAGTTACTGTCAAGTTTAATCATTATTTTCCCCACATGGGGACAATTATAAGTCCCTCTCCAAGCTTTAGGAAGGGATTTCGGTGACCATATCATTCCTGCCACATAGGAGAGCCATATATCCTGGTCAGAATAAAGCTTGAGCATTGATATTTTTAGGGTTATTTACTGCATCTTGATGCACACTAAGATACAGATTGACGTTATAAGATTATTGAATTTGGACATTAATAGCAACTCAACAATTTGTATGCATCTGTAACATATATTTATTTGTTTGTTTGCTTGTTTACTTTACAGAGCATTTATTAAGCACCCGCTATTTGCCAGGACTACACCAAGCATCTGTATGACTATAAGGAATGATTATAAGGCAGGTAAGATTGTTGCTTATCAGAAAGTGCTAATTTTGATGTAGAGGGTGCATACAGAGAGATAAGTTCATACTTATAACTCAAAATGATATGTGATATAGTGAGTTATACTAAAAGTTCTAAGAGTGCAAGGAGAATGTTTTACACATTTGTAACACTAAACTCTTCCCTCCATCTCAAAAGTTAATAATAAAGGCAAATAGAATGTTTGTGTTGAGAAAATAAACACTATCTATAATTAATATCTGCGTAGTAAAATATTTATGAGAAATAACTTCATTGAATTTTTTCAAACATTCTTCACACCTCTCCTCTTTTTTAAGGAAAATATAAATACAGAGAAATTGGGACGCTTATTAAATCTGTCTTTGCTAAATGATCCCACTTTATAGAAAAATACAGTGATTTTTCATTTCTCAAAGAAAATCATATCAACAGGCATGCAAACCTAAGATGAATTAATAATATTTGGGTACTGTTTAATTTCTGCAATTATTGTTGTCTAACATCTCATACATAAATTTAGCTTCACCTTTTTCTGTCTCTTATTTTTTATCTTACTTATTAATCTATAATAAAACAAGTTGCATGGAAAGAAGGAATATTCTAAAGTGTTTTTCAAAGAATGAACATCATTAGCTAGATGTTTTTAAGATTAAGAAATTTTAGAGTTACAATAATGCACCTAGTTTTGGTTTAGAATTCATAATGAGAGAATTAGCTGGAAGTTTTCAAAATGCACTTGAGAAATCTTTTTTATCTCATGGATGATGAAGAAAGTATCAAGTAATTAATGAATGATAAACCAATATATGAGTGGGACAGTGACACTCGCTGTGAATAAAACTTTCGAGATGGGAAGTCAGAACATAAAAAAGCATATTATGAATATGATGAAACACCAAAGGAGAACAGGAAACAAATAGACAAGGTTCAAAGAAACTCTCAGCAATTGGTATGACACAGTGCTTCCTTCATACGCTCATTTTGATGTTTAGTCTTCATCAGGAGTGTTGAATATAATTGACTTTTGCTCAGAGCACCTTATATGACATGGTTCAAATGAAGACTCTGATGCCAGTCAAAGAGGATGTCAAGAAAACCTTGTTAAAAATACTCATTTACTTGTTAACAGAGTTTTTCTGTACACTTTTTTATGCTGCCTTCTAGGATTCATTTTTATTTATTTCCTCCTAAGGTTCCATATCTTTTTTGACAGTCTTCTCATTCATGTTGCCCAGGAATGAAAGAGCCTGGGGTTTCCTGACATTGGTGCTTTTAAGATATGCTCTATTCTTCAGTTTTGAGCAAAAGTCAAAGGAAAAGATAATATATGAGTACAGGGATACCTGAAGCCTCACAAAGAATCTCCCTCTTTCTAGAGAGAGAGAATACCTCCTCCTCATTAGTAATAAAAGCCCAGAAGCCACAAGCTGACATCAGTCCCTGCAAACCCTGGTTCCTTCTAGCCGTCAAAGTATACAATAGTCCCGTAGTATCTGAAAGCCTGGAAACATTACATACCCAATAATAACCCATTTTTTGGTCACCATTTTGTTCTAACATGTTGCACAGAATGTGTTCATATAGTCAAATATACCAAACAATTATATTCCTACATAGAACGTTATAAAATGCTATATGTAGATTAATTTGCAGATCTTATGAAAATTAGATAATGACTAGCACTGACTGTATTCAAGGGTGGTACTAAGAGTTTCTCTTGTGTTATTTCATTTAAACTTCACAGCAACAGTATAATGACATACTATAACAGAGGAAATTGTGGCTTATAAAGAAATAGTCAAATGTTTGGGTAGACAGATACCAAAAGACTCACAGGCATTGAACTCATGTTCAAATTACAAGATAAAATTCATGCATAGAAAGCAAAAAAGCATTAGCTAATAAGCTAAAATACCTGTTTATCCTTTTACAGCAGGCATAAGTCTATATGATTTTTTTTTTAAGATTTATTTATTCATACATACAAGAACTGGGGTACAGGCCAGAGGTGCAGGGGTGTGAGAGGATTCACCAGAGATAGAGTGGGGAACAGAACAGGCAAACCTGCTGAAATACACTGCTGAAGGGAGCAGCGGGCAAGACACGAGAGGTCTGCTGTGCCATGTGGGTAGCTTCCTGGCCAGCCAGGAATTGAACTTGTGCTGCAGAGGCTGTGCTTAACCCCTTGCTCCACCAGGGAGGCCCTATGTGTTGTTTCTTATGATGATTTGTGTGTGATCATGTTTGATAGTCAGTATATTCATGCAAGGCTCTATATCTTATTAAAATATTTTTTAAAACTCCTACATCTTGATAAAAACCTGACCATCTGGCTTCTCACCTAGGCTACCTAGGGAATAGCAATGAAAGGGTTAATGCTCAGGTTTCCTGAAACATGCTTTAGTTTTGAGTAGTTGATGCCTAAGCTGGGGCACTGGCTCCTGCAAACCACCAGTGACTCCCACAGAGGCCTACAGGTTGACTCTTCTGTGGCTGTGGGAACTTCAATCTCCATGGGAATTTGAGGGAGCCTGGGAGAGGCAGAAGAATCTGAAAGTCTGGGTTGGGACGGACCAGGGTTGGGTGCTGTGATGCAATCTGATTGTGAAACCTGAAAAAAAATACTATTAATAAAATGAAGTATTCCTCATTTGAATGTAATAAGATTCTCAATCACATTTATAATTGGATCAATGGGAAAAAGAACTGCCCTCCAAATGTAAACATGAAATTTAAGGTAAAACAGTAAAAAAAATTTCAACATATCAACAAGGTAATTGTTCTATGTTAAACAGATCATAAAATAAAGTTATTACAAGTGAAAATAGATTATGGTGTCAGAAACTCTGCCACTTCTAGTGAAGAGATTAAAATCCCTAAAATTTTGATGATTCATCAATTTTTAAATCAATATTAATTCAGCGATAGGGGTGTCCTTGTTCCAAACTTAATAAAATGGGTAAATATCTTAAATTCAGGAAAGTTCTGACAATCCATTAGCCGGAACATCAGTTCCAGCCAATGCTGCTGTATACCTGCCCCATTCATTTTAGGGCATGGGTGGGTAGTGAGGTACTTACGCTAGGAGAGAAGAAATGACAAGGATTGAAAACAAAATATTAGCACAGACTTCCCAAATCCTGGGTAGTTGATCTATAGAATAAATTTGTAACAATTTATGCATTCTTTGACTCTGAAATTCGATGGTGGCTTTCTGCCATGTTTGAGCTGGCTTTATAAGGAACTTGACAATGTGTTGAAAAGAGGTTTGCTGAGTTATTTGTATCCTTGTCTTTCCCCCCTTCCAGTAGCAAGTAAGTTCTTAAGGGTGGAGATAGCTTTGGCATTTAAGTATCCATTGGATGAATTTGAATTTATAGCATTGTCTCTAAGAAAACGGCATTTTATTAATTTTTAGGTTTTTTTTTCCTCAAATTCTAGTGATATGCCAAACATTTACGTAATTGTATTGTTTTGGGAGTCAACTTCTTACCTCCACAGGTGCATTTTTCACTCACCTACCACCAAAACTCCAGTGCCAATGCCCTGTGACTGCTCCTCCCCTACCCTTTTTTCCTTCCCCCACCCCACCTCCCCCTTAACCAGTATTTTTGAATCAGTAGACCAAGTAAAGTAAGTGTACTGCTTTCCCTAATGTGGCTGGGCATGATCCTAGTTGTTGAGGGTCTGTGCAGAAATGGCAAAATGGAGGAAAGACAGATTCATTCCCTCTCTTCCTGACTGCTTGATCAGGGACATCAATATTCTACTGCTTTCAAAGTGCTCCCATTTCTCAGACTTTCAGACTTATCAATAGATTAGAATAAGCATCCTGTTCTTAGGCTTTTGAAGTACACCACTTGTTTTCTTGGGTCTCCGGTTTATAGATGAGAGATATGTATCATTTCTTCCTGGTCTATTGAATGAATACCTCAAAATAAATCTATTGATCTCTTTCTTTTCCTCTCTTTATCTCTACATAGATAGGTAGGAAAGTAGGTAGGTACACACACACACACACACACAGAGACCCACACACACAGGTTCAGTTTTTTGTTTATTTTAGAGAATAATGATTAACCTAGTAATGAATCTAAGTATAAGGACCGGAGGCTTAATTGGTTTCTTTCTTTCTTTTTTTTTTTTTAAATAGAGGCATGTTTTTATTTATTTATTTATTTGTTTGTTTTGTTTATACATGCACTGGGTAGTGTCAGAAGCGCGGGAGGGTGAGAGAATTCACCAGAGCCAGAGCGGGGAGCAGAGCAGGCAGAAGGACCGAAGTTCACTGCTGAGGGGAGCAGCGGGTGGCAAGAGAGGTCTGCGCGCCATGTGGGACCCTCCTCCAGTGGCCGGGGAGCAGCCGGGGATTGAACTGGTGCTGTAGAGGCCACGGGCAGCTTCGCAACCCAGCGCTCAACCGCTGCACCACCGGGGAGGCCCTTAATTGGTTTCTTAAGGGTAACTACAAATAAATGGCAGTCAGAACATGACATGACATATTCCCTATCCTCTAGAAAATTGTGTTTTAAGCTCAAGCAGCTGAGTTGAAAGCAGCATCCTGAGAAACTATCTTTAGGTAAATGGTTATTACTTGAAAGTATTACCATCTTTAACCAAGTGCTTCTTTACATCAAACATCTCTTAGGTATCTTGAATGAATTTTAATTGTTTAAAAAAAATTGTACAATGAATTCACAACCTAGTTACTCCTGAAACTTAAATTTCATTGTACTTTTCTCTTCAAAGGACCTAACAAAGAATTCCTGGACCCAGTCAATAATTCTTGTGAACACAGTCCTCTAAAATATAAGAACTGTTAATACTGTAATTCACAGTAGAGCTTTGCAATCTTTAATGTAATAAAATGCAACCAAAAACTCATATGACTGGAAGAATATTGCTGTCTAGTGTTGAAATGGATCATTTAAAAAATTGGAACTAAGTGTTGAACAGGGAAATCCACAATAAAAATGGCAGTAGTAAAGGGAAAAAGC